AGTGTCTTAATGATGGTTCAAATGAACCCAAATTAATCACTTAAAACATAATTACATATGTAATAATACCATCCAAGGGATTAAATAATTAAATATTATGTGTATAATAAAAAGTATCATCTTAATAAGAGAAACTAAAAGGGCCCAAAATACCACAATTCTAATATTATTAATACAACTCATTTTATGGTGTTTGAAGATGTTGGTTAAAATCATAAAAACTTCACTTATCAAAATAAAATAAATATATCTATCATTCGCTTGAAGATAGTATAAACTAAAAGAGGTCTTGGAGATATGAAGAGCTCTAAATTTTTGGCAAATAATTAAAGCTAACGATCATTTTTAATAATTGTCATCACCTGATTACAATCACACGACCATTGTTGATTTACCTCATCATTTGATTGTTTGTTATATTTTTCAATGTTTGATCATGATCACTCCATTATCATCATTTGATAATATCATTTGATCATTCTGCTTAACCATCATCACCTAATTTTCATTCCCCATTCGTCATCAACCACCATTGATCTCCTCTTCTGCATCATCTGTTAATGATATTGACATCTAACAACTGCCATCTATCTTTTGATTGTCATTATAACTCTTCAATATTTCTCCAATCTATTTTATTTAAATCATTGAAGAGCAAGTTAGTGCTTCATTCTTTGTAATCTCATCTTCTTTTTTTTTAAGAACCCCAAAGGGATTTTTATATATCTTAAATAAAGAATACAGAGTATAAAAGAGGATCCTCACTACACACGAAATACAACTGACATAAACAAAAATCTAGGGGATCCGCTCCTAGGGATACAACATAAGCAAAAAAGATCCAATAAAAAAAACTCCAAAAAGAAACACGTTGAATCGCCAAAAGCACAAGAAGAATTAGTTGGAACCTGTAAGAAGCTAAGACAAAAGTGCAAAAAAAAACTAGCGGGAACCTGCATGGAGCTAAGACTGAGCAGGAACAACCAAACAAAGAAAAACCAGAAGGAGCGGAAAGCTAACATAAAGGAAGAGATAAAAGAAGATGAAAATGCAATAACAATCAAAGACAATGAGCAATAGAGTAGAGAGCAACCACCACCACCAAGCACCAAAAGGAAGGCCATATAGCCCAAAATCAAGAGCACCTCCACAACAAATAAATGCACCACCCAAACCAACAAGGTCAACCAATACAACAAAATAAGCCTACAAACAATAAAAACCAGCCCAACAGCCATAACAACATAACCATAGAGTTTACAAACCAACTCAGCACAAAAGTGCAAAAAAACTGTAAAAGAAATGAAATAAAGCCAACACACAGTATAAAAGGATGTTATTCAATAGAGAAATACAAGAAACACCAAAATAAACCCACGAGATATCATAATAAGCCCTAAACTGAAGCAACCAAGCAAAATAAGCTATAAGAATAAAAAAACTGAACAACAAACATGTCTAAGCAAAAAAAAAAATTAATATGATCGAAGATAAGGAAGACCAAATTAGCATATAAATATAATTAATAATTATGAAGCCAAACCCTAGTTCACCAAAAAATCAGTAACAAAATTACATTCTCTGAAAATATTTGGCATTTTCCAATTAATAGAATTCAAAAGATAATGAATCTCACACAATTTATAGAAAATGTTACAATTGACAGTATTATTCATACCAAAATTTAAACAAAGTTGCACCACCAGTTTAACATATAACTTAAACTACACATACAAAAATTAAGAGGAATAACTAAGATTGAGCTCTCTTTTAGGGCAAATAATTTGATATAAACAAAGGAAGAAGTATGAATCCGGCAAGCAAAAATAATTAAAAAATACCCTTATGGTCTCTCAAGATACCACCAAAGCTGCCAAATCTATTGGAGATTGAGCCATCCTTATTGGATTTCATCCACCCTAACCTAGGAGCAAACCAATTCACCTTAATAGGGTAGGGATTAAGATGCTCCAAATCCTAAAGACGAAAGGTGGATAGAGCATGTCGAAAGCCTTTAAAGTATTTAGAATCAATTAAATTGGCTCTACTTAAGAAGTTAATTCTATGGAAAATATTAAAAAAAGATAGAATATTGATCCATATTAATCTTCTGATGCTTTGAGTTATTATCAGCATTCGAAATAAACCACATAATAAGTAGATAAAATAATATGAATAATATGATTCCTAGAATTTGAGGGAGTAAGGGCTAACTGATTGCTTATAAGCATATTTAAAGTGATATTAAGTTGAAAGAAATTTTTATTGATGATTGAATCCATCCATTCCCAAATGAAAGCAATAGTGTTGCTTTGAACAAAAAGGTGATAAACATCCTCCATTTCAGAGCAAAATTGACATTTAGAAGCTAAAGATATACCACAATGTTGAATGTTACAATAGATCTTACTTTTATAGTTGTCTATTGTAATCATGTAAGATTCCATGATTTCTTGCTCATTTTATAGCTTTCACATAAAAAAAATTAGTTATCTCAACTTTTCTTATATGTGTACGTGCGTGCAAATCTTAGTGTGGCACTGAGATAAAAATGTACTCTTTTACAAAAAAAAATGTTAAAATATTTTTAAAATTAATGAATATGATTTATTAGGATTAATTAGTAAATAACTTGCACGTCAACATAAAAGAATCCATCAACAATTAAAAGTAAATTAGCATTCATTGTTAGTTAAAGGAACATCAATGGCTCCCTTGAAAATTTTTTCAAAATTCTATCAAATCGAACCCTCATAATAAATACACTAATATAATTGATTAATATAATACTTCAATATGCAAGTATAATGCACAAGTGTATGATTATAAAAGATATGATACACATCATATGAAAATAAACAAATCTTAAAAAATGAACAAGTGTTTGCCCTAATGAAAATAATATTACTATAGGTATATTATATAACACATTTTTCTAAGAAAATAACTTAACATTAGTGAGACATTAACACACTAATGAACTTATATTGCGATCTAATTGATAATCAAGTGAGTCTATAACTATGAAGCTATGTTTAAATTGATAACAATTATAGTTGATAGTTAATCCACTAAGCACATACACAAGAACACAAACATATTATACATGTTGAATATAAATATAATGCTTAGTGTGTAGTAATTAAATAATTAAGGACTAGAGCACAAAGTTTAACATTCAATAAATGGACAATAAAGTTCGAGTAATTAAAGCAAGAAAATAAGAATATAAAGCAAAAATAAAGTGATTTTGCCTAAGAAGTATTTTCTCTTATGTGGTAAACACTTGTCCAAATTGCTTCCATGACAAATAATATTTAAAGTTCTATACTCAAATTTACAATTACATGCTATTTTCTTTTATGTAGTCAATTTCTTGTACATTATATAACCTTACTTGTCATTTTATTATTCTTTAATCTTGAAGAAGTTTTTATTTAATTGGTATATGTTGAAATACAAGACATAGACTTTAAGTCATGAAGTCAAAGTCAAGTGAACATGTCATTTAACTCAAAAGTATACCTTAAAAAAATAATCAACACATAAAACATACAAAATTCTTGTCATGTCCAAAGCATGTTGCAAGGACATGAAGTTTATTTTGCTTGGGAGTTACACTTGAAGGAAGCTTCATGATATAAGACAATTTTTAGTTGATGGTCCCACATAAAGGAGGAATAATTTTCTTATTTAACATAAAAATAATGGTTACTTCTCTATAACTAACATTATGTCATATTTTTAATTAAAAAACATTATCAAAGCCTTTAATTGTCTAAATAACACATGTCAATGTCAAGAAAGCAATAAATAAAAGATTCATTAAAGGGTTTGTTTGGTTAAAAATAAAATTTTAGTAAATTTGAATTCAATGAATTCTCTCTTTGAACCCAAAAAAAGAAAACTAAAAATTCTATTAAGATAATATGTCATAGCATTTAGTAAATTTGAATGGTATAATTAATTGAATTTTCAATTTTAGTAAGATTTAATAAATCTTGATTATATACTTATTTGATTGCACAAAATGCTAAAATAGTTTTCTTACATTACAATCTTATTAATCTTAAATTTTAGAAAAAAATAATATATTAGAACTCCGCACGTAGAGTTACGTGCAGAGTCCAATGAAATTATGCCGTTGAGGTGATCGGCCCGGTAATACATGAAATATTCTCCTCGTGTTATTTCGTATTATTCAAGAGTTACTGTGTTATGAGAATATTCCCGGTGTTATAATAGCACAATAACACACCAATAATACTTGAATAACACACAATAACACCTGAATAACACCGGAGAAATATTCCCTTATATTACCGGACATTTTTTTTTCCACGTGACATAATTTTATTGGACTCCACACGTAACTCTATGTGCAGAGTCTTGATGTAATATTTTTTTAAATTTTAGTAGATATTTATCAAATCTCACTAAATATAAAATTTTATGAGGCAAGATTTAGAAACGCATTATAAAATTTTAAACTAAAATAGTCAAGTCTAATTTAAATCTTACCTTAAACAAAAAATGTTCTAAATGAAGACTAAAATGCAATAAATGAAAGAAATTGTGCAAATTGGCATTTAGAAATTTACCTTTTCTTTTAATCTGGTTTGGCTTGCCGTAAAACTATAAATAAATAGTTAAAAAAAAGAGAGAGACACGGAGAAAACTTCCACAGATTCTTAATGGTGTCACTAGCACTTAATGAAGTCGAGGAGAGATGGAGGGATAAATTTGACCATAAAAATCCGTCAAATCCTTCAGAATTTCGATCCCTCTCTGCTTCTTCTTCGTCCTTCCTCCTCTCTCGATCTCTTAACCTATCCTTTTGTTCATTAAAGCTGCCGGCTTTTTGTTTTTCGAACTTTACAAGTTGGACTCCCGAGTGGAGCTCATCTGTAGAGACGGCAATCTGGGCTTTGCTTCGAGTCGCGTTCAGGCGGCAGGCGGCAGGCGGCAAACGGAGAGGGTTTTTTTGGCGGAGGCGGCATGCGGCAACCGGAGAGGGTTTTTTTGGCGGAGCCCCAATTAGGTCTTGGGGCTTTGGTTGGGATTTTCGGCGATTTAGGAGAAGAGTTAAGTTTGGCATTTGGGGTTTTGGAAGAAATCCAGATCGAGATTAGGGCTGAATTTGATATCAGGTGGGAAGCCGTTTTCTGTGTTCGATTAGTCTGTCCCTTTTTCTTTAGTTTATTCGGCTGTTATTTGATTTGTTTTTTTAATGCTTGATTGACTCTAAGCTCTAAACACCGATGATGAACTGGGTTTCTATTTTTGGCAGGAACAAGATAGAGTTTGCTGTTCTTGGAGAGGATCGTTGGATTCTGTAAAGGCTTGTGATTCTTGAAGATGTCGGTGGTCCAGGAGCAACTAGAGATCAAGTTTAGGTTACCTGATGGATCGGATATCGGCCCCAAAAAGTATACGGAAGCTACAACTGTTTCCACTTTGAAAGAGAGCATTCTTGCCGAATGGCCCAAAGGTGATTCCCAATCCAATAATAAACAAGATAAATTTATTTTGAAAATAACTGCTGGTTTTCATGTTATATTTGATTGTGATTTTAAACTAGTATTGAATTTTAAATATGATGGAGTTTTGTTTTCAGATAGTTTAGAATCAGGCGGTGGTATCTAACAATGTTTTTCTTGTTTTACATTCTATCCTTCTGCCATTATTTATTCTGAGAAGCTCTGATAGTTATTTTTAAATCAAGGTCGGATTTTTTCTTCTGTTAAGGCAAACTTTTAGCTAATTGAGCTGTCAATTTTGGAAAGCTGTAATTCCTTAGTTGTTTGTTTCTGCATGACTTGAGATTGTAATTATTTGAAAATTCTTATGGGAATTTTACCATTTGGGCCAATTTATTTCCTTTCTTAGTAATCTAGCTTGATCAACTCGCCTAAAAAACTTCTATCATAGCGATGTAGAACTCATGCTTTAAAATGCTGAATTGTTGGCATTCAAAGAACTTCCTTTTATTTTCCCTTTTGGTTGGTTGGTGTTCGCATGATTTTAATACTGTCCTTATTAATTGAAGGACACCTTGTGTGTCTTTTAATAATCTTTGCTTTCCATAAGCTTATTCAAATGCATGATTAAGGGCCAGTTTGGGATAGTTTTTTGCTGTTTTGCATTTTAAATCATTGCAACAATTAGGTTTGACTGTAATTATTTTGCTGCTTTTTAAAATTTTTTGTGCTGACAAGTAATTTTTTACAACCATATATGTTTGAGTGCGGTAGCTGTAAGAAAGTTGTCATATGTTTTTTTTTTTTCTATCTTTTTTTTTTTTGAAATACAAAAAATGTCTATAATATTCAGTTATTTCATCAACTTTAAAAGAGTTTACTTTTACCACAACAGGTCAACAACTATTTTTACAAACAAGTTGCTGCCCTTTTTAACAGACCGCATGGGTGGGGGCAGAACAAGTCACCAAATAGTTGGATTAGGTCCGAACCATAGTTATATTAACTATTCTTTTTGGTTGAGTTAGACAAATTTAATTGAGGGTGTTTGTTTTGTGTTGATAAAATTCATTTTTGCTTTGAGATTTTGTTTGATTTGGATTCATTTTGGCACTTTAATTTAGTTTTTAATTTTATTATAGTAAGGAATATTTTCATTTGCTCAATATTGCTTGATATGTTTTCAGCTTTATGGCAACGTTTGTCATGAAATTGTTCAAGTTTGCTTTTGAGAATAATCGGCATTTATAAGGGTTTGGTCCTTTTTTTTTCTCTCAAGTCGCTGCAATTTTTTTGTTCATATATTTATTAGGCTTATGTTGTCATGTTAGCTTCTCCCTTATTCTCCATTGCAGGAGGTTGGGTTTTACATATGCGTTTACTGTTTGGCCATTGAACCAACAAGGCTTTCGATGAAAACTAATGTAATTTATATGTAATGAATATTTTGCATTTTTATTTCTTGTTTTCAAAATCACCTGCTAGAATGCTACTAAGCTTCACTAACTTTAAAATAATATCACAATTGAGGGGTTATGATTGGAGCCATGCTATTTAGCCCATAGCCCAAGATGTGGGAGAATACTTATTATGTTCTAACATACATGACTAAAGATGAGGCTAGTTTTCCTACTCTTTATTTTGTTTTATCTTCTCTGCAATTTTTTTCATGCATGTTTTTCTTCTTTCAAATTCTCAAAAATTTCATAACTTTTAATGTTAATTTTGTTCCTCTCCGTGTTCTTTGAAGAATTTGCTATCTAGGTTAAGACATATGACATGATATTGTGGTGGTACTTGCCTTTCAAGGATATTTGATGGAGTTCTCAAGGTAGAAAGAGTTTGTTTTTTAGGTTTAGTTTTCATAGGAATTGTCATTTTCTATAGTATTTTTCCTACCCACATATGAGAAAAATGCATGTGGAGTGGAATGGGTAAGAGTTTTAATTCCATTCTCACATTGATTGCCTATTTTATTCCAGTCACAACCCCTATTCCATAGCACTTTGGCATTATTTTTTAGTAATGAAAAGTTTTAAGGAAAAAAATTTTTATTGGCTTCTTCTTGCATATAAAAGAATCTATATGGAATGGGATTGTAAGGAGTTTCAACTTTCCATTGCATTAATTATTTTGTTCTAGCCCCAATTTTTGTTCTTTATTGCACATCGTGCGTCCACTCCTACGTGACTTTAAACACATTTGTTTATGCTAATTTTATTCAATTCTTCTTTTGGCTATTTTCATAATGCATTCCTAGCCATAATTCATTGAATAAGATAATCACTTTAAGAGTTATTAATGCTAGTTATTCTGAAGGCACCCATATGATGAGCAAAGCTTCTCTATCATATGGAATTTGCATTTAGGTCACTCTTATGATGTGGCATCGTACATTTTAGCTTTTCTTGTGTTCTTTACAAGTATATTTCATGAAATGTTTTATTTATAATGCATATCTAAGCTATTTTATAGATAAATTAGGTTCTTGATAAAAATATAAGTTTACTTATAAATCAATTACTATGGTTATCTGAATTATATTATATAATTTTGTTATTTATAAATCAATATCTATTTAACATTAAAAAAAAACTTATTTTACTCTAAATATGTGGTTAGGTGATAAATAAGAATAGTTTAAAAATGCCTATATGCAAATAAATTGATATTCATCGAGTCTTTTATCCTTTTTGGTTATGAAAGTATTTCCAAATGTTATTCAACATGAAATAGCATGCAATGTGTTTATTTATTTATTTTTCAATTAAAGGTTTGGGAATACATGATTCTCACCAAAAAAAAAAAAGATGTTTAAAAAAATGAACATCCATATTTTCAACAACACTATAGTGAAATCTGCTGTAAATTTTTGCTGAGAGGGATTGTAGGAGTAACATTAAAATTAAGGAAATAAAAATAAAATGAAGGATACACATGCCTCCTTCTAATTGAAGCGAGGGTGTGCCTCACCAAATGCGAGGTGTACGCCTCGGCTGATTTGCTCGAGACCCACATCTACTCAATTGTGTTGATGTGTTCCTCAAGTTGCACAATTTTAAATATGGATAGGATAATCATACTATGGTTACTTAATAAATACATTTGCAGTAATTCTAATGGTGTTTTAGTGTTACCCTCTTGATGTTATTTGATTTATATGTTCTTAGTTTCCAATATGGCGTTGTGCATGCTTTTGTGGGCCATAAAATATTGTTGATAGGGATTGTAGGAGTAACATTAAATGAATATTTGATTGTAAAAAAGATAGCTTAATGGTTTGGGTAGGCATAATATAGGATAAAAAATGCTCTAAGAAATTGATTGATAAAATCTTTGGTAAATTATTACCCGAGTCTTAGTGGTTAAGAGGTTGCTTCATGTTGTCCCATATTTTTAGAAGTCTTACAATTGGATCTTTAGCATTGTTTCACATGTAAATCCTAATGGTCTTGCAGGTATCACATACCCCTAATATTTATTAAAAATAATTGTTAAGCAGGTTCATGTGATTAAACAAGTTATCATTAGTCAAATTTTGGATATTTATATCTTTGAAAATGCCCTTCTAGTCTATAAAATCACATATTCTTCTCATGTTGGCTATTTGAAAGTCTTTGAGCCTTCAGTAAATTGCATATCTCTAAGTTTGTTTTCAACGTGTTTCCACATGAACCAAAACTTCTCTTCTAATACTGTTTTGTGGTTCAACAGCTAGTTTTCATGTGTTAGTAGTTTTAGTGGGCCTTTTCAATTATAGAATATTACAACCCAACTTATGATGCAACTTAGAATTGTGTATGCTGCGAAGGAATGTAGTCGTGAAAAAAAAAATGTAGCTCAATTAAATCTTTCATTTTCCCTGTTTTAGTGTTTTATAAGAAACTTCATTTTTGTAGTTTGCA